AAAAAAATTTAATGTTAGACTCTACTATGGTGCTTTGTCAAAATGCCATTGTAAACATTTTAACTTCTAACATTCTCTGATCTGCTACTTTATTTTAAAAATTGGCTAACTATCATGAAGAATTTTGGTTAGCTGACTTTTTAAAATTTCTGATATATATATTTTAAAGCATTAGGTTCTATAAAGTGTTTTATATATATCTTTGAAACATTGTCTTTCTATGAAAAGAGACAAATAATCTTAAAATGGTTTTATCTTTGCAATCATATAATTCTCAAGAATCTCTTGGTGACTATTTTAGAACTATTCTTTATTAAACAGATTATCAATGGTTATATTCTCTCTGCTCTTATCAGCCTAAACATTGACTTTATATTGCCTTTCAATTTGAGTAATCTTTAAAATTTTCTAAAAGGCCCTTGCCTGGTAGCTCAATTAGTTAGAGTGTCACACTGATATGTCGAGGTTTTGGGTTCTGTTCCTGGTCAGGGCACATGCAAGAATTAACCAATGAGTGCGTAAATTAAAAAAAAACAAAAAACAAATCTCTCTCTCTCTCCCTCTCCTCTCTCTCTAAAAAAAATAAAAATAAATTTTTTTTTTTTTTTTTTTATCCTCACCCGAGGACATTTTTCCATTTTTTGTTCAGGTAGAGTGGGAGGGAGAGAGAGGAACACAGAGAGAGAAACATTGATGTGAAAGGGACACATCGAGTGGCTGCCACCCGCACGACCAACCAGGGCCGGGGACAAACTGCAACCGAGGTACATGCCCTTAGCGGGAACCGAACCCAGGTCTCTCCAGACCGCAGGCTGACGCTCTAACCGCTGAGCCATACAGGCCAGGGCAAAAATAAATTTCTAATAAAGATAGTTGGTATGATGGGACCCAGGATTAGATGTCAGAAGATCTAAGTTCTAGTCCTTGTCCATGCCACAGCCAGAGATATTTTGGGAACTCTTCTGTCTTCTGGATCTCTGACTAAACTGGGGAGAGGAAGATGCTTTTTTTTTTTTTTTTTTTGTGGTACGTGCCCCTTGCAGGAACCGAACCCAGGACTCTTCTGGTCCGCAGGCCGATGCTCAACCGCTGAGCCAAACTGGCCAGGGCAGAAGATGCTTTTAGGAAACATCTAGTTTGAGGAGGGAGGCATGCATACAGTCTTCCATTTGGCACATTTCTAATATGATAACTGTATAATAACCCAAATTCTGCATGGGTCTAGGGTAAGTTTAATTCAATTATATTCTTAAAGGTCATACAGAGGTACGTTGGGATAGCAGAGGTTGATGGGCAGAGAAAAGGAATTTTGTGTCCTTTTTTGGATGTTCATTTTGGTTCTTATATAAAGAGTATGTGCTTAGCAACTACCATATAACAGCACAATTAAAAAATTTTGGATTTTTATTTTTAATCTTCTTGCCATTTACATTTAAAAATACCTAGCTTGTGTCTGACATACTTGTAAGACCTGGGAAAGTGAGGGCTACTTTAAAACGTGTGACTAACCCAGACACAGAGAATTGTGACTTCCTCAGTGTATGAAGACTTTGAAGAGATCCACTGTCAAAGGGCAATTTTTTCAAGAGTTTTCCTTTAGAAGAAAAACATTCAAGGTAGCCTTTTATGTTTGTTTGTATGTATCTGTTAACTATGGCTACCTATAAAAAGACACTATTGAGAAAATATAGCTTTATTTTATTCACTATAACTTGACAAATTGCGGAAGAAATTAGTACACTCTCAATTTTGTGTTTTTATGTCAAGCATCTGAGGATAAACAAAGATAACTAACAAGGCTAAACCGAGTCTCCAACATTAGATTTTATCTAGAAAAAACACCTTAAGAGGCTTACTTATTTTAAGTGTTTTAGAAATTTTTAAATTACACTTTAGAAGTTTTAGTCATTTATTATATTCTAGAATGTCTGCCAAATTTTATTTGACATATTTTTATATGCATGTAAATTCTTTCCATGGTATATGAAGCATCCCATACTGCATTAATCAATATATTTAATACTTGTAGATGAAATCTTTCATAAAATGTTCTCTTTATAAATATAAATTTATAGTATTATAAATGCCCAAGAACAAATGAAATAGATTAATTTCTGAGGTTTGTATGATGGAATATTTGTAAATCATATATAAAATAGTTCTTTAATATGAAGTGTGCTCCCAGAAAGTTTTGTTTTTATGGGTGACTAGACTTGATTAAACATACACTGAGAATAATCTCAAAAACAATCAGAATGCAGAAGTTGATTAGTGTATTGTCTAACTTATGAAAAAATGTATTAGCTATGTTCATTAAAGCAACATCAGTTATTTGACTTAAGAAAGACAAAGTTGCTTTTGCCCTAGCTGGTGTGACTCAATTGGGTGGAGCGTTGTTTACACCAATAGGTGGCGGGTTTGATTCTGGTCAGGGCACATACCTAGGCTGCAAGTTTGATAAATATTTCTCTCTCTCCCTTCTTTTCTCTCTCAAATCAATAAAACCATGTCCTTGGGTGAGGATTAAAAAAAATTAAAAATAAATAAAAACAAAGTCGCTTTAATAAAGTACTACCAGCTAGGGCAAAAGCAACTTTGTCTTTCTTAAGTCAAGTAACTGATGTTGCTGAACAACTCAGCAAAGTTACATATTTATACTTGAATTCACAGTAGAGTAGTTATGAATAAGAGTTGTTAAATAAAGTTCTTTCTAAATATTTGAACTAAGTACATTGTAGATTTATTTAATATGATATAGCGTTAGATAATATTTTCTAAATTTATGTAGTACTTTAAAAATTAGTGGCTTGAATGTAAGAGAAACTACTCATGGTCATTTACACAAGATTTACTCTAAAGGTAGATTAAAAAGGACATCAAAGAACTTTTATTTATTTATTCTTTTATCCTCATCCGAGAACATTTTTTGATATTTTTGTTCAGATAGAGTGGGAGGAAGAGAGAGAGAGAGAAACGTTGACGTGAAAGGGACATATCGAGTAGTTGCCACCCGCACAACCCAACCAGGGCCGGGGACAAACCGCAACTGAGGTATGTGCCCTTGGCAGAAACCGAACCCGGGTCTCTCGGGACCGCAGGCTGACGCCCTAACGGCTGAGCCAAACTGGCCAGGGCATATCAAAGAATTTTAAAGCATTTCTTATTTTTCTGTTAAAAAACATACATACACATACACTTCTAACTAGATACAGATGAAAGATGGTATTAAAAAACTCATCGTTATTTTGGCCAGTTCTTCACAGACAAAGGCAAGGAAAACTATCCTTGCAAATTCTACAGTAGGTTATAGAAGGAAAATAGTTGAAAGAGGAAACTGATGACAGAAGTATGGAGACTCTAATACTGGTGACACAAATGCATTAACTGAACACAGATTCTGTGAATAACCTGTCATAGATAACCTTAAGAACTTAGAAAATTCTTTTTATCCCAAGTTCCCTAAGCTCTTTTCTTACCCCACCTAAACTGTTGCCTACCTTTCACTGGGCTGGAGGGGACAGAAGTCAACATTAAGCATTATGTTCCTGCAGACATGCCTTCCATTTTCATGGACAGCTTTCTTAGTCTAGCTCTGCTCGTGAATAAACAAGGAAGCAGGCATGGAAAATGGGTCATCGCTATTCCCTTTTCCTCGCTTCACTTTCTCAAGTTTCAAAAGTCACAGTTTTTTTTCAGAGATTTAAGACATAATTTGAAAAGAACACCATCAGGCTCAGACTTTACATAGTAATCTTCATTCACTCGGGGGGGGGGGGGGGGCTAAAATAAGGTGAGAGGGAATTTCAATAAATTTTAAGTAAAAACAGCATTAGAATTGTCCTTTTCATCTTTCCTAGCTAGTGTGTTTCTGCCCTTGGGGAATACGTGACTAGGTTTAAGAATCTTGGTTAGTCAGCATGTGTGTGCGTGCCTTTTGATCTAAAGGGACAGTCCTTACAGTGATCTCCCTGAAGACTGGAAAGAGGGAGTGATAACCAGGGAGCCCCTAGGCCATAGTGTTTCCAATCTGGCTGGCTTTCAGTCTTCCTTCTCAGACTCTTGATTCCTTCTCAAAAGGAACCTACCAATTTATTTTTGATATTTTCTGGTTTCATCTCTGTCATCATTTCCTCATAGTGTATAGCTTTTTGCATTTTTTAAACGTCATTATACCCAAGATGCCCCCCCACCCCCGTTTTTTCCCCTTATATCTGCCAGGGATTGCTTGCAGTTTGACTTTTTAATACTTCCTTGGACCTATTTTCCTTTCTTGCAGTAATTTCGTTGACTTATTGCATTAGAAAATAGAATTTTTATTCCCAATTTTGTAGCTTTTATTCCTCTTTCCTGTCTGCCTGTTTGTCTTATGAACCTTTTAAGAATATGAGAAAATGAAAGTAGTTTTCATCTTTTCTTACATTAAGAACTTTTTTTTTAGATGACCATGTCAGTAATGAATAAACTGGTCTATATTCCATAAAACCTCCTCTGATGTTATGGGAATGGTGAATTTCCTATTATGTATTTCTTGCCATTGTTATGTTGTATGTAAAGGTTTTTACTTCACACATCATTTCATTCTTATCAAAGAGTATTAGACTAAGAAATAATAAATATTGAATAGTGTATGGATGGGTGCTACAATACGATCATATGCAATTTGAAAAATTTATATTAATACTTAAAAGCACATGTAATGTTATTTTTTGAAAAGTCTATTATGAGACATTGTTATTTGTGCTACAGCAAAAACAGTGTCTCTCACTAATGGTGTTCTTTGATATTTTCACCCCTGATTTGAATTTTGACAATTCTAATTCTTCAGCCAGACCAACCCCTGTCCTCACTGTTCCTGCTCCTCTACAGTTTATTTAAAATTCAGCTGTCATTAAGACTTCTCATTTAGCTGAACAATTAGTTTTAGGACTTCAGGAAGAGAATTGGTTGAATCTTATTATTGGTTGACACTTATTTTTTCAGTTCCCTTGCTGTGGAAATAGATGCCTATCAGTGGTGCCTGAAGGAGATGTTGAAAATCTGGATTCCAGTCTTATCTGCTCAGTGGTAAGGGTGATAATACTTGCTCAGCTTACTAATAAGATTCATATGAAAATAATTTGAAATGGCGCATGTAACAATCTTGTAAATTGTACCATTCTGTGCAAGCCAATATGTGCTTTTTGAGCAATGACAGTCAATAGCAGATTACACGTTTGAGCCCAAAATCAAGCAATTGGGCAGACCAGGCCCCATACTCTTAGATAAGTGGAGTTTATACCAGATGATTTATGATAAAGAAAAGCTACATTTCCTGCCCATGTGGAGTTTTCTGATATAAACACATTTGCCTGGACACAGGGAGTAAAATAGGCACAAGACTTTGAACATAAAATAGGCATATTTCATTTAGTATAAAAAACAAATGACCACCTCATATTTACAGGAGGTTGACCTGTTTTCTTAACCTTTTCCTCTCAAACTACCCCTTTAAAGAAAGGATTAAAGATTTGCTTGTTTCTAAACTTGATTTGAGGTTCTGCTTAACATAAACCCTGACCTTAAATTCCTGGGTGAGGCCATCTCCCATCCAAGACATCAAGTTTAAAAACTAACCTTGAAAGAATAAAGAATTTGTCTGTTGTGTTTTCAAATTGTCAACCCTTCCTTTAAGTTCATAAACCCTGACCTTAAATTCCTGGGTGAGGCTATCTCCAATCCAAGATGTCAAGTTTAGAAACTGACCTTGAAAGAATGAAGGATTTATCTGTTGTGTTTTAAAATCACCAACCCTTTGATTAAGCTAGGTGTTAGCAAATGTGGCTTATGTATACTCTGGCTTATTTTGCCACAAAATTTACTGTCTAGAAAATACTGATTTGTAGCTATTCTGTTTCAGAGACTAAATAGATCAAATGACAATCTTAATAGTAACTATTACATTTACCAGTTGTTTAAGAGACTTTGGACTTTTACATTTTGATTTGTGTATAAAATTATCTTTTTAGTAATATAAATACTTATGTTTTGTTTTTTAAGAGGACTTGGTAGGCCATAAAATTGGACACATATTCAATGATAATTGCTTTAAATAATGGTGAGTTTTATTGTTTATAAAAATCAGTTTTTTAAAAAATTTAGGGTACATGAAAGGAAAAATAAAAAAGCAAAAGCAGCACTCCAAATCTCACAACTCAGAAAATTGTCATTAACAAGTTAACATAATTTCAAATTCCTCATTGAGCAAATTATAGCAGTTTGTTTCACAGAAGATGGAATTTTCACTTATTTGTTTACTTTAGTGCATTTAGGGAAAGGATCTCCTCAATGATAAATTAGGGATTAATATAAAAATATATAAGTGGCTTGCTTTTATTAATGATTGACTAGTATTTACTATAGAGATTTTAAACTGAGTGCTATTTATGACTGTCAGTTTTACAGCATTGGATCAAGAATATTATACTAATAATATATAATTTTGCAAGGTGATTTGATATAGATATATATTTGTAAAAGCTTTCCAAATGCATATAGAATGTGATAATGCAGTCTTGCTAAAAATTTATACTAAAATATAAAATTGATACATTACTGATGGTATTAATGTATTTTTTATATAAAAATTCAATTCTTTGAGAACTATTACAACCTATATTGGGTTCTCTATTTTTTAAATTTCTGTAGCATGTATAGTTTAAATCATACAAATGTAATTAAAATGCCAAAGAAAATGTCATAATTCTCCCATTTTTTATTTACTAATTCAAGTATGACCTTTTTCTGGGATGAGTGATATGTGCCCTGCTCTTCAGTCCTGAATGAAACCCAGCACTGTGGTATAAGCACACAGTACAACAGGTGGCAGGCTGGACTGAGCATCAGGGCAGCAAGGCTGTCTATGGTCAAGTCTCCTTAAATTCGTAGTTTTCTGAAATATCACCACCTAGTGCAAAAGAGAACAGACTCTAGAGTTAGACCCACATTGGAGTCTCAAAACTACTACAATTGGCTCAGTGGCTTTGACATGTTACTAATAGCACCCATTCCATTGAATCCTGAGGACTAAGCAACACTAAGCATAGACCCTGGTACGTAGTAAGCAATGCCACCACTAGTCTTTGTGATATCTTTATATCCATAGAAAAAGGTATTCAGTCCTCAAGACACTTTACTTCCACGTGGTAGAAAGACACTTTACTGCCATCTGCTGGAAAATTTTCTTAATAAATATGCAAATAATGATGTCTGCAATATGAACCACACCCCCTTCGATGTGTTTGTGCCCTTGTGCAATCACAGCCTGCACAACTGTGCATGTAAGTGCTCAGTAGATAGTGTTTTCACTTGTATAGATGGGGTTTGAAAGAGAATTCCTGATAGTGCTATTATTGCATTAAATGTCATTTAAAAAATCAAGGAGTCAAAGTTAATCTCTATAAAAAGAGTCAGCATTTTATTGCATAACCTGGAAACATTTGAGCTTACTATTTGCCTCATTCCCCATTTCCCTCACTGAAAAGCATGTTCTACACTAAAACCTGCAATTTAAGTTAGCAGAAATACGAATTAAACCATTACTCTTGTATTCATAAACACTAAATGTAAGACCAAATCAGTGGACATATTTTATGTATGCAAAACATAAAATAACACAGTGCTGGGTATGCAAAAGCAAAGCACATTTTGGACTAATCCATATAACTTTTAATCATGATTTTTAAGGTTGGATCAAGAATATCATATTATAATTGCAAGATGGCAGATCTTAGGAAAGCAAATCTGGAACCTGGGCTGGGATCATCCTTATTCAGAGACCATTATAGTACCCCCTTTTTTTTTGCACGCATGGGAAAAATTTGGCTCAAACATAGCAGTATAATCATGAAGAAGATTGACTACATTTGGATTAGGGAGAGTGTTAGTGATAATGGGTACACTCTCCCAGGATAAAGATTATCACCCTAGAGAGGACCCCAGGTGTGAGGATGGAAGTGACAGATAAAGACTGGGCATGAGTAGGGCCAATTGCACAATGAAGTTGTATCAGCTGGTGGCCCAGATCCCCATGTCATTTTGCCACTATTGTGCTAGTGTTCAGAACTGTGGTGTTCACATCTGTGATGTGATCTGCCTAGACCAGCATGGCTGCTAGCTGAGGCTGAGGCGAATCTACTATGGGTGGTGGAGAAGGGAGTAAGGTATCAGTTACTTCAGGCTTGAGATCCATTGCAGCTGCAGCAACTGTGGTTTTCCCACTAACTTTCTTGTGTTTCCTCAGCAGTAAAGGCCAACCAGAGTCCTGGAGTTGCTGGTTACTAGGTAGCAGAACTTACTGTAAGAAGCAAGTGGATCTGAGCACCACAAGGGGTGAACTATAACAGATACTCTAATGCCTCACGAACATCTCCCATTGAGGGCCATCCTCCAGCTGCTGCCATTTTCTAGTCAAACCTTTTATAGCCTTACTACAGATATAAACTGAATTAAATCCTCAAACCACAAGTAGAATGGACCTTAATAATTTGCTAAACCTTAAAATTAACACCTTAAGTGGAACCAAAAACAAGTAAGAACTCTTAGGCAACTAGTTCAAATTGGAATCAAACCAAGCCAGAACATCAAAATTTCTCAGATCTAAATCCAAACCAAAGTTCCATACACTCTGCACACCTAGCCTTGGGTAGACTGTCTGTGGCCTTAGCAGCTCTTGCTAATTAGAAGCTCCTAGCTTTACTCTGGCAGCTTAGCAGATAAATGTCCTCCAAAGTGTGCTCCCACCTGAGGTTGGGGAAAAATGACTAGGATTTTTAAAAAATTAACTTGTATTCAGTTGTCTATTTGGTTCAGATGCGGAAGAAAACATCAGTTATTTTTCAGAAAGTAATTTTATATTCACCCAGCATCATGTCCTCCAAGTCACATCATAAAAATAAGTGGCACCTAGCCATGGTTAATTGTGAAGCAATCTCAGTTCTTACCTAATTCTCTGAATTCAACTAGTGAAATCTTAACATCATTAATAATGAGATTACCTCACAGCTCAGACAGAATCCTCCGGCTTCTCATCCAAGAAGGTGGGGGAGGGGATTTAAAAATAGCAACACAGTATTCATATGAAAAATTATTCTCAGAAGCTCTTACATTGTTGCTCACACAAGAGATACAAGTCTGCCTTTAAGCACCACCAGGGCAGGAACTATGCATCTTTGTATCCAATACATTGCTTTGCCTGGCACTCAGGAGGCAATCAGTGAATAATGATTGATTGATTGAATGAATGAATGAATGAGGCTGCAGAGGTCCATAAACCAACCTGGTTGTTGGCACCCTTTGAGGGGACTTTGGCCAGGACATTTTGAAACTGTAGCTCAACCAAGCAAGAACAGGCTCTTTTCAATCTGTATTCTGTCAGGACTGCTGCCACTTTATTCACATTTGGCATGGAAATCTGGCTGTGCTGTCAGCCACATCCACTTAACTCAAGTTAGCAGTGCCTGAAATAGTTCTTCAGACTTTAAAATGGTAGCCTGCACAACCAGTTTCAAAGGAATGAACCCACATTATATGATGATTTTCAGAGTTTATCAAATATCATGAGCCTGAATACATACAATGAGAGAGAGAGAGAGAGGGAGAGGGAGAGGGAGAGGGAGAGGGAGAGGGAGAGGGAGAGGGAGAGGGAGAGGGAGAGGGAGAGGGAGAGGGAGAGGGAGAGGGAGAGGGAGAGGGAGAGGGAGAGGGAGAGGGAGAGGGAGAGGGAGAGGGAGAGGGAGAGGGAGAGGGAGAGGGAGAGGGAGGGAGAGGGAGAGAGGTTGTCCTGGGAATTTTGGGTTTTACACAGAGAGCCGGTGATTGTAGCTAAGTTGTTAATGGCAGCTCTTTGGAGAAATTAGTGGATTTCAGCTTCTGAGGTCCTGGGAAGCGTCATGGTCCAGTTCTCTGTGAGGAAGGTTTGGTTGCTCAATTCTTTCTTGGGTTCTATGAGCTACCTGAATATCTGTCCAGCAATTTTACTTTTACTTAAGTTTTCTCCCATTGGAAAGCATTTTAGAGAACCAGTGAAT